CTCCCCTCCCTCTTTCTTTCCCTTTCTTTCTCTTTTCTTTCCTTTCTTTCTTTCTTTTACTTTCTTTCCTTCTTTCTCTTTCTTTTCTTTCTTTCTTTCTCTTTCTCTCTTTCCTTCCTTTCTCTTTCTTTCTTTCCTTTCTCTCTCTCTCTTTCTTTCTTTTCTTTCTTGAAACAAATCAAAGTGGGAGTTGGGTGGCTTCTAGATCTTCCTGCCTCTTTACGCATGAACACTACCTTGTCTAGCAGGTGGCACATTTGGAGTATTTGTCACTGCAAGCTGTCACAGGTTGAAAATTCTTACACGGCCTTATTTTGACAGTGGTGGGGGCAGGGTGTCAAGGACCCTAGGTAACCCTCTTGCCTGCTTCTCTCCTGGGCCCTCTCTCCTCCAGTCCGCACCTGAAGGCAGAAAGCCTGCAGCAGGCCCTGCACGACATTGCCTAGATATTTGGATCTGCGATCGTAACCTTGAGTGCCCAGGGTACTGTAGTGCAAAGGACGCTGGGTTGGACCTTAGAGGTAGTCATGGAGCTGCCACTAATTAACCATGTGACTTTGACCAGCTCCCCAGCAGCTTCCCAGCTCCCAGCCTTTTCGTGAGCAAAGGGGGAAGTCAGATCACCCCATCTCTAACTTCCCTTCTAGCTGAGAATTTTGTTGATTGGATTTGAAAAGTGGAACTCACTGCTACATGAGTTCTTCAGCCATAAAACTTAAGATTCTCGTTCTGTCCAATGAATGTATGTTCCCCAGAATTTTAGGTAAATATGTATAATTTCATATGTTTGAAATCAACCTATTATAGCAAGGTAGCAAATATAAGAAAGTTTAATACATTTACCTTTCTTTAAAAAAAACGAGATTTTTCAAAGCACTTAGATTTCTCCACATGGGTTATACATTTTTTAATGCTTTAAAAGACAATATAAGTGAAATTAATCACTCAGAAAATCAGATATTAAATACTACTTGTGAGTGATTTATCACTCTCATTTTTTTGACACTCCTAGTACTTAAAAATATGTAAACTTCTCTTGAAATTGAAGACCTGTTATTTTACCAAATTACATTTCATCTGAACTTGTAATTTCATTTTGTAATATGCTTGAGTGTATTCAAGATTCATTTACTTATCATTTTGTTTGGGGGAGAGGTTAATAACTTTTGCATATTGAATAATTATTTTAGTTGAAGAAGAATTTTTTTAAATGGAGATATAATTCACATACCATAAACCGCGTCCTTTTAAAGAGTGTAACTCAGTGTTTTTAGTATATTCACAAGGTTGTGTAGCCATCACCACTGCCTAATTCAAGAATATTTTTATCGCCCCCAAAAGAAACCCTATACCAATTAGCAATCTCTCATAAATATTTTTAATGTATCAAATTTAAAGGTAAAATTTCAATCCTGTGTCTGAAAATGGTTCAGCCTGTATGATTAATAAATTAATGGTGTCATTTTAGTATTTCCTCCTATTTCATGTTAGCTTATGAATAAATACTAAAACTTTCTAGGGGTGGAGAGTGGGGCAGTTTTAGTGAGTTGAATTAAGTGAGTTTTAGCTTTGTCCTGTTTGGTCAGAATTTAGTTACTAAAACTAGATTGTTCATGAATTGATTTCTTTATGGATTGAAAAGAATAGCTTTTTAGGTTGTATTACTGATTATTTCCAGGATATCAGAGTAATTGCCGAGATCAGAGAATTGGGACAGTGAAATTCAACTCAACTGCATTTTAGTTAGCGCTTGAAAGTTTAAAATAAGAGAGAGAGATTGTGTGTTTGGGACAAAGCCAAAAGAATGAGGGTCTCTAGAACATGATGTAGCTAATAATGGGGGTCTCACTTAATAGAAACAAGAAAAGAGGAACTTAAGGAAGAAGCATAAGCAACTGAAAACAGTCAAATGTGATGGATGTGTATTTGGGTTATGATTTTTTTTTTTAACACATCTTTATTGGAGTATAATTGCTTTACAATGGTGTGTTAGTTTCTGCTTTATAACAAAGTGAATCAGTTATACATATACATATGTTCCCATATCTCTTCGCTCTTGCATCTCCCTCCCTCCCACCTTCCCTATCCCACCCCTCTAGGTGGTCACAAACCACCGAGCTGATCTCCCTGTGCCATGCGGCTGCTTCCCACTAGCTATCTATTTTACATTTGGTAGTGTATATATGTCCATGCCACTCTCTCACTTTGTCACAGCTTACCCTTCCCCCTCCCCATATCCTCAAGTCCATTCTCTAGTAGGTCTGTGTCTTTATTCCTGTCTTACCCCTAGGTTCTTCATGACATGTTTTTCCTTAGATTCCATATATATGTGTTAGCATACGGTATTTGTCTTTCTGACTTCACTCTGTATGACAGACTCTAGGTCCATCCACCTCACTACAAATAACTCAGTTTCATTTCTTTTTTTTTGCGATACACGGGCCTCTCACTGCTGTGGCCTCTCCCGTTGCGGAGCACAGGCTCCAGACACGCAGGCTCAGCGGCCATGGCTCACGGGCCCAGCCGCTCCACGGCATGTGGGTTTTTCCCGGACCGGGGCACGAACCTGTGTCCCCTGCATTGGCAGGCGGACTCTCAACCACTGTGCCACCAGGGAAGCCCCTCAATTTCATTTCTTTTTATGGCTGAGTAATATTCCATTGTATATATGTGCCACATCTTCTTTATCCATTCATCCAATGATGGACACTTAGGTTGCTTCCATCTCCTGGCTATTGTAAATAGAGCTACAATGAACATTTTGGTACATGACTCTTTTTGAATTATGGTTTTCCCAGGGTATATGCCCAGTAGTGGGATTGCTGGGTCGTATGGTAGTTCTGTTTGTTGGGTTATGATTTCTAAGATTAGTATAGTATCAACATTTTGACTGCCAAATAAATTTGTCAGATGCCTCTGGCTCCTCCTGGCAGTTAGACCTCAAACCAGCAATAAAGTTGAATTCATTATTGGAAAGATGTATGTCTTCCTTTTATTTGAAAGCATAAATTGGCTTATTAAATAAAACAGAATCAGGAGTTTAAAGTTTTGTTTCTACCAAGATTTTTTTGCTACTTTTTCAAGTTCCTCTGGCCCCTTTTGGAGACCCCTTACTATAGCCCTCTTCTCTCTACTGCTGCTGGCCATCTCTGAGAGTTTTCTCTCCCTGTGGTCTTCAGACTTCCTGTTTCTCTTCTCCATGATGTAATTTCTGGGTCAGACTTGTGGACGCCCTCTTTTTAATGCAGCTCCATATGTTTTCCTCTCCTCCCTTCCTCTGGCAGCAGCACTTTCTAGTTCTAGTGGGTCTTGAAGGGCTCCAGATGGATGGTTTGGTCCATTGCTCTTTCTCCTGGCAGGGACTGTTTGTAAATGATCCTGAATGAATTGAGTTCCTGCCCGGTCCATACATTTCCCCTTGAAAGTTAAAGCTGCAGCTTCCCTCGTTGACCTGCTCTGTCACCTACCAGGCTTAACTGGACTTGCTTAAGGCTGCAGAGCTCCTCCAGAGTTCTTTTTTCTATCTTTTATATGCTTTCCTCTCATTCCCTCTTGACTGAATAGAAAAACATTCCATGTTTAAAATAGTCTTGATTTATTTTGAAAATATCTGCCTGACAAATCCAAATTCTGTCCTCCTTTCTCATTGCTTTCATTTAATATGCAGGTACTGAGCAGTTGTATGTTTGGGAGACTCTACTAAATACACGTTTTCTCTTAATACTCAAGCAAACCTTACTATAATTACTATTATTATTTCCATTTTGTAGATGAAAAAATTACTGGTAAGTAGAAGAGGCGTAATTTTCACCCGGGACCGTTCTACACCAAAACCAACACTCTTTTTTTTTTTTAATTTATTTTTTTATACAGCAGGTTCTTATTAGTCATCAGTTTTATACACACCAGTGTATACATGTCAATCCCAATCGCCCAATCCATCACACCACCTCCCCAAAGCCAACACTCTTAACCAGTATTCTGTGCTAAGGGACTTTGCAGTCACTTCAGTTGCTGAATTCCAAATTAGTCCTCAGTACACTAGAGAAGCAGGAAATGAAGGGAAGGGGGTATGAACTCACATTTCTGTCCTCCTGACGGTGCTTATTCTGCTCCCTAACTTTGGAATAAGTTCAAATGACTCCACTTTGCCCCTCCTACCTCTTCTTCGATCTGCTTTTTAATCTTTCTCTCTTCCACCACCCCCTCACACCTTCTTTCTTCCTCTCATAAATCTCAAGTGGCAGAAGGTCAAGAGGAAAGGGGCAGGGGAAAAGAAACGAAATGTAATGCTGATCCTTTCTCCTCCCACTGCAGTCCTGATTCCATAGGTAATCATATTATTTCTTTCCGTTGTTTAACTCTTTTCACAAGATCCTCGCAGGGTCTACCTCTAGCACCGGAGCCCTGTATCATGTTTGTTTCCATTTTACAGATGAGAGGTTTCCTGTGTTGAAAGGTACCTTAGAAAAGTCCACAAGATGAAATTGTATACTCACAAATAGCTACCCAAGTTGACATGGTTAGATATTTAAAACATAAAGTCAAATATTCAAATCCAGTGTCTGTCCACTGCACCAGACTGATCATAGGGATAACTTCAGTGTGTATTTACCGCTACAGTTTCTTCGTAACAAAATTGGTTTGCAGTCCACTGGGGATGAGTCCTAGATTTTTGGGTGAATTACATCACTCTGAGGATATTTTCAGTGCCCATTTAATGTGAATATTTTAAATTTTACAGTGATGAACAGCAGCGAGATTATTTAATGGAAAGACGGGACCTCGCCATTGATTTTATTTTTTCTTTAGTATTAATAGAAGTTTTGAAACAGGTAGGTCATTAATTTAATGTTACTTTAGATAAGATTTATTTATCTAAAATCTACTTATGTTTTTAAGGTCAAGTTTATTAAATTGTTCATGAATTTCAAATACTATGTCATATGAATTATATTTATTGATTGTTAAAGGCCATATGTAGTTCATTGTGAGTACTCTTACTGATTTGATCTTTAATATTCCCTTCCAAGTTAAGAGCCATCTTTTTTTTTTTTCCAGATTCCACTTCATCCTGTAATAGACAGTTTAATACATGATGTTATTAACTTGGCTTTCAAGCACTTTAAGTACAAAGAAGGGTAAAGTAATTTGTCATCTTCGAATTTGAAGAAGTTGGGTACTTAAAACTAAATCAAGTTTGCTCTTTTCAGATGACCTGGGGGGATTCCTAACTTGTCTAATTGTATGTTATTTAGGTACCTTGGTCCTAACACTGCCAATATGCACATTGTGGCAGACCTGTATGCAGAAGTCATTGGAGTGTTGGCACAAGCTAAGTAAGTGAACCTCAAAATCGTTCACCATAAGAACATGAGTGCCTCTTCTGCGCCAACCCAGCCCTACTCTCAGGAGGGGGGAGGGTGTGAGCTTACCAGAAACTAGGGTTTATTTATGCTGTGTGTGCCCTGTCTCTGAACCTCACAAGAAGCTCCCCAGGACAAGTACCAAGTCTTTCTCCAATTTGTTTTCTCCTTTAGCTTTTTCACTTGGCAGTTGGGCTAGATCCTACCAAGAGTCCATGAGTTTCAGACTATTGCATCTGAGAAAGAAATGAACTAACCAAAGTACTTTTCTTCCTGCTTAATTTTCCAAAGAAGTTTATCAGTTTCAAAAGTTCTGTTTTCTATATTCCATGAGTGGCTGGTTACGATATAGCATCCATGAGTGGGAAAATTCCATTCTAGAATGTGCCTTTACTATAGACCTTACTTAATTCAGCTGAGCTAAAAATGTCCCAGACTCTGTCATGGAAACAAGTCAGAAAATTCTCATTGCTAAATATATCTGGCCCATAACACTACTTAGCAGGCTAGAACAAAGTGGTATTAGACTATTAGCGATAATATACTTCTTCCAAAAGTGATGTCACACCCTATTCACCCATCTTCATCTTATTCAACCCTGAGGCAAATCGGGCAAGATCCTGAATTTCTAGGTTAGGCAAAGTGAGCCAGAGACATAATGTGAATCCAAGCCAAGAGGCCAGCTTGGAGCAACAGTGATGCCCCGATCTTTGTGAAATTGCAACCCTCAGAAAGATTTGTATCTTCAAGAGATGGAATTTCCTAACTTAGCAGTGTGGAAATGCTCAATTTATCACAAAACAAAATTTTTAAAAAGTACTTACTCAGCACCTTTAGCTAGCCAAAACATAGTCAAGAACTCAGGAAACAGACCCCAAAAACTCCTTGAGGTGACTTATTTAATCTAACCCTGTTTGTCTATTCGTCTTGACTACCTGTTTTTTTTCTAACACATAAAACATCAGTACTAGATGGAAGAGACTTAGATACACTGACGCCCTGAGAAATATCAAGCTCAAAAACTGACAGCAACAGAGAGGAAAGAGAAACTGGCCAAAGCATACATAAGAACTAAACATTAGAGTTACCTGGACCATTTTGCATGAGAATATATATTGTACGTTTATTATAGCCCATTGTAATAATTGTAGTTCATGAAAAAAAAAGTGTAATGCATTTTGGAGAGATTTCCATTGCAATTAAATAATAAAAGTATTGGCTTTTTGAAGGAATGAGCTGCAGTTATCTGGCAAATTAACTCATGTGTCTCTACCTCATTCCTAGAAAAGATCAGAAAAATGAGTTGTTAATATGTATTTTGGCTGTTTTGTCAAACCCTGGAAATCTCATCATATTCCTTTGTAATTACCCCAGCCTAACTCTCTTATACAATCATTTGGAAAGTTTAATATGCCAGAAATGACTTCTTGTGTTTTTCTTAGTTTCGTGAACTGTACATAACAATATCGGTTACTATAGAATGACTTGCCTTAGTCAGCTACACCGATTTTCAGTTGGTTGAGAATGAATTGAGAGACAACGTCATAACTAAAGCAACATTCTAAGGTTGTAGGAATTTCCTTATTAGGTCTGATTGATCATCCACTGAGCCAGTGTTTTCTTGCCAACAAGGACTTTTTAAAATTTTCATGTCGGTATTTGTCTCAATTCTGCAATAGGAGGCTATAACAAATGCCTCAGTTTGGATAATGCTCTAGTACTTTTTAGTCACAAGAAAATGCTTTCACCAATGGCTTCTTGCAGTAATTGCAGTAATATATAGTAATCCCATTGATAAATTCTTAACCAGTCAGTATAGAGTTAACCTTTATTGATAGGCAGTACAGCCTTAAACTGGTGTCACACTACAGATTATCACATTACGTTCTTTTCATGAGTACACCAGGACCATTACCTGTCGCCTTAGAAAATTACTGCTTCCTTTGTTCTCGGTGGGGGAAAAAAAGGCTGTGTGCCTATTTGGTATAGGATGGTTATCTTTTTTTAAAAATAAACTTGAGTAATGTAACAATTCTAATTTTAGATTTTATATCTAGATCACAGGGGTAATGCACTAAAATATCTTCTTCATTCTGACTTTAGATATTAATATTTAGCTTGGTCTTTAAGTTTTAGCAGAATCACTATTTTTAATCTTACTAGTGATAATATGCTCAATTCTTGTCATTAAGGGAAAAAATTTTTTTTTTTGCTATTAAGTGATATTCACCCAGGGTCTTGACTTTTTCAAAGTCAATTAAGTTAAAATTAGATTTTTTAAGGTAAGCTTTTTGCATTAAAATCTGACATATCTATTTAAATAGTAATGATTGCTTGTAACATTCATTCTAAAACTGCTCTCTCTTTATGTGATATAATTTTAATATATATATTCTTATACTCTCACTTTAATAATATCTACTATACATTTTAAAGCAGAAGACTGAGTAATCATTTAGTTACTGTATTTACTAAAGAATACTAAACACTCTAGGTGTGGTCATTGAAAAGAAATTTATTTTTCCCTAAAATTATTTTAAGGGAAAATAGATTTTAAGTGCAAATAGATTTTTGGATTATTTTTATTTTGAAATAACATGTTTATGTCATGTGGGACTTTTTAAAGTAAAAGATAGCTATATTTATTTTTAAATGAGAAATAAATAGACTTTTAGCCACTAACTCGTGAGAGTACTGAAATAGTGAGGTGTACAAATAACCTGCCTTTTCCTCCCTCTCCTTGTTTTAGTCACGGATTAGAAAAGAAAAACACACTTTCTAAGTATCATGTGATCTTTAAGACAATATAACTCTAACCTGTAAAGTTACTTTTTTCTTTTTAAGTCTCACATTTCAAAATTAAAACCATAGATTTTTTTTTTTTTTTTTTACTGTTTGGAAATAATTTGAAATAAAACATAATTTTAAAAAATCTAGTTTTTATAGATTTTATAAATTTTTATAATCTTGATTGAAAGTGTCACTTCCTTCTCTTTGCTATGCCATTTCTGCTTCCTGTCCTTCATCTGTCTCTACCTAAAACCTCTGTTCACCCTTTACCCTAACATAAATCACCTCTGAAATCTTTGATTGTCCAGCTGGAAAGAGCCCCTTCATTGTCCAGTGCCCCCGGAGCCTCTTCAGGTGTATTATTCACATAAAGGACAGTGTGAGATATGAGAAAGTGATTTGGCCTGGGGCATTTAACCTCCCTGAAGGACCAGAGAGATCCAGGCAAATTCCCAGGCCCATGGTAACATACCTCATAAATAATAATACTGGTTATTATTCTTATTAAAATTATTACTACTATTCACATGGCTCATGGTCAGTGCTACATTGTCTTACCTTTCCAGTTAAACTGTATACTGTTCTAAATAGACAGGGACTACATTTCACAGCTCATGACTGTCTAAGGCAGCTACAAAATAGTGGAAATTCCTGGAATTCACAGCAGAAGATCACAGTCTCACCTTTTTCACTTTGACCTTCCAATCTGTTTCTTCATTCATAAAATGGAAACGCATTCACTACCTATTTTCTGCTCCATTGCCTTCTTAAAATCTTTTTCTTTCGTATGCAGCAAACATAAAGAAAAATCCATAAGTTGTTTAGAAAATACAAACAACTTTAACAAATTGTTACCAAATGAACACCATGTAACCTCCTGCATTCCAGCCGAGAATGAGAAAATTGGCGCTCTCACGAAGCCCGCAACAGCCAACTTGCCAATCACACACCTCTTGCACTGCCTTTTGGTGGCACCATATCTGTATGTTTACCACCTCCCTTATATGTCCTAAAATTTCTGCTTTGAGGTGTCAAAAGTTGTGATTCCAAACTTCTGGGATTCTGTTAATTGGCCTTTAACTTTTATAGTCGTAATTACCCTCTGTGATCATGCCTTGCTTCTAATTGATCCTTTGCAGAAACTCAGGCTGTGAGAGTTTCAGGAAACAAAATACAATGAGTCTTAGAATGCTTTCCTTGTTTTTCCTTTTTTTAACCAATAGTCAAACCAGCCATCTCAGAAATAGTTTGGATGACTTGTTTGTATATGTTCCTTTACCCTTAGGCACTTTGACAACCTGCTACTTTCCATCCTCTTAGGATCTATTCTCTTTTTAAACTTTTTATGATAATGTTGTTGTTGTATTTAATGTTATTAATTATTAATATTATTTTACTTTCAAACAATATAAATACCTTAAGTTCCTTGGGGACTGTGTCTTTTTATTTGTAAAATCCCATACATGATTAGAGAGCTTTTAGAGATGATTTGAATTTTCCCATTACTAGATTTTCCTTCAACCTGAAAATATTTTTTTCAATAATCATTAACCTAAAACTATAAAAGAAGCAACAACAGAAAACTGTGGAAATGGATGTAGGAATATTACTTGGCGTTATTTGCTGTCATCGTCAGAAATACCTGGCCTCCTATGTTATTGCTCATCTCACAGTTGGATACTTCAGGCCCTTGGGGTCTGTAAGTACCTGGGAAATTGCTAAGCCTGAGGAAATGGAGCTTTTCATCATGCTCAGTTTAAGGGCTGAACCATTTTGAGAGACTCTAAATAACCTTGGATCTTCTCCCTAGCCTGAAGGAGACATTGAGCATCTGATAGAATAAGAGAAGAAAGAAGATGGGACTCTTTACTATATCCTCAATATCAAAACCTTTACAAGATGACAGCCATTGTACTTCAGCTGATTCGAAGGTCCCCGTCACTGTGCCCTGTCACTCTTAGGTGCTGGGGACCTGCATTACAGTTACTTTCCTACCCATTATTTGATAAATCACTCACGTTCTCTTCTTAGATTCCCTGCTGTAAAGAAGAAATTTATGGCAGAGCTCAAAGAATTACGGCACAAAGAGCAGAGCCCATATGTTGTTCAAAGCATTATCAGCTTGATAATGGGGATGAAGTTCTTTCGAATTAAGATGTATCCGGTGGAGGACTTCGAGGCCTCTCTCCAGTTTATGCAGGTACTGTCTTGGGCAGGAGAACTAAGGGGCTTTCAGCTTGAAGCATCTGCCTTCCTTAGAGTGACTGACCTGGACGGTGAGAACCCATTCACTCGCCCATACATAAAAGAATCCTACGCTTTTTCCTCAGTAATTCATAAAGGGCTTCGTAACCAAGTAATAGAGTTTCAGGCACTTAAGTTCATTTTTAAACTCATATCACCTTCGGAGTAGGGTGTACGGTAGAATCTTATTTGTAGACTTTTTTTTTTTCTCTTTTTTACCCATTGGCTGCATATTGTTCTGTCAGTAAAATATAGCTGATTTGTTACTTTTTGAGATCGATAGCATTGAGTTGGCGATATTAACATTTCCAGGCATCAGAACTTTAAGTAATGATATCTTTTTTATTCATACTATAAAAAGGAGTCAATCTTTAAAAAATCAACTAAACCATACAGGCTTAGGTGTCTGTGACAGTGTTCACCATTATGTACTAAAAAAAAGAATTATTGCTAATGAGGATTTCCCAGAATACACAGCTCTATTAGTTTTTCTGTGTGTGTGTGTGTGTGTGTGTGTTTTGTTTTGTTTTGTTTTTTTGGCCACGAGGCAGGCCTGTGGGATCTTAGTTTTCCGACCAGGCATCCAACTTGCGCCCCCTGCATTGGAAGCGCAGAGTCTTAACCACTGGAATGCCGAGGAAGTCTGCACAGCTCTATTAGATTTTATAAAACTTTAGTATCTAAAGGGTTTTTTTTTTTCTAATGCTGCTGTGAATTAGATCTAGTGAGGATCTTAATAAAGAGTTTAGATACAGGGATTATGAGTGTAGGTTGTACCACTTCATACCCGCTAGGATGGCTCTGAGCAAAAGGACAGACAACAGCAAGTTATCTGTTGGTGAGGATGCAGAGCAATTGGAACCCTCATACGCTGCTGGTGGGAATGGAAAACAGCACAGCAGCTTCTGAAACAGTTTGGCAGTTCCTCAAACGTTGAAATCTAGAATTACTATATAATCCAGTAATTCCAATTCTAGGTATGTAGCCAAGAGAAATGAAAATATATGTCCACACAAAAACTTGAATGCAAACGTTCATAGGAGCATTATTCATAATAGCAAATGTCCAGGATAGGCAAATCGGTAGAGACAGAAAGTAGGTTAGTCGTGTAGGGCTGGAGGAGGATGCCGTGGATGCAGAGGTTAGGGATGCCTGCTAACAGGTGCAAAGTTTCTTTCTGGGATAATGAAAAGGTTCTAAATTTGATTGTGGTGAAAGATGTACAATTGTGAATATACTAAAAGCTATCAAGTTATATACTTTATAAGGGTGAATTGCATGGTATGTGAATTGTATCTCAAAAAAGCAGTTTAGGGTTTCCCAGGTGGCGCAGTTGTTGAGAGTCCGCCTGCCAATGCAGGGGACACGGGTTTGTGCCCCGGTCCGGGAGGATCCCACGTGCCACGGAGCGGTTGGGCCCGTGAGCCATGGCCGCTGAGCCTGTGCGTCCGGAGCCTGTGCTCTGCAACGGGAGAGACCATGACAGTGAGAGGCCTGCGTACTGAAAAAAAAAAAAAAAAAAAGCAGTTTAAAAAAAAAGAGAATATAGGCCCTGTATCAAATTTCTTGGGTTTGAATTCAAGCTTCAGCACTTACCAGCTCTGTGACCTTGGACAAGTCACACTTAACCCCTCCCAGCATCACTTACCTTGTCTGCAAAGTGGTAATAATGACACTAACTTTGGAAGGTGGTTCTGAGCATTCTTGGCACGTGGTAAGGACTCACTAAATGCTAACTATTTTTATCTCTCTCTCATGCTAATGATTTGTGTATCTATGTACTTGAATTAAGATTTGAGACAGTATTTACATATGTATGCAAAATAATGTAGGAAAAGGGCCACAATTCTGGGGACCATAAAGCTCCATTCTGTATTGGGAAACTCTCAAAGACTTCCCATTCTGGCAGTGCCTATCTCGGACTGATGTCTTAGTATGATATTGATATACTGGGAACTTGAGTAACTGTTGCTGGTGGTAGTTCCAATGTGGACTGAAAATAAGACGTAATAGCTGACACAGATATTAAAGTGTCATCACCAATACACGTAGCCTTGGACCTTTCCATGAAAACAACATGTAAAAAAGACCACAGTAAGTTACTACCCAAAAGGCCAGGAAGGGGAAAGGGGCTGGCAGAATTCTGGACAGGCCAACTCTTCTAATATATTATTCCCTGGGCAGCCAAAAGTACCCTTTTGTAGACAGGAGTCCACAAGCAGAGACATCCTTGCTTAAGAAACTACTCCAAAGGTTTCTTGTCTGAGGTGGGGAAGGGAAGCATTCCAGACTTGCTCATGAAACTATCTGAGTAATGAACACCTAAAATGTCAGGGCCTAACAAGTAAACAGCTCTGTGCCCAGGGCTGTCAGGGCCTGAAATAAGGTTAATGTCTTCTGCCTCTCTTCCCATGGTTACCTCCTCTGGGGATCTGTGCTTGTGGGTTAATCAAGGCCCCAGGGCCCCCCACACAGTAGGTAGTCAATAGAAACTTCTTGCAAATGAGTCACTGAATGAACCAACTAGGAAGTCAGTGGATGAATGTCTGCTTGCTGGTTATAGATGCTTTGTCCTTTCAGCAAAGGACAGAGTGATTTTCAGTGACTTGGGGATAGAAGTCAGGGGGAGAGTGAGAAAACCAGCCTTGTAAAATGTCATTGGAAGATATTGTGAACTTAAATATAAATGCTTGAATCCAGTGATTTTTTTTAATAGATTGTGGAATATGCTGTGTTATTGGGTGTGATTAAATTAAGGTCTGTTTGCTTAAATTTGCTGACATACATTTTCTGTGCACATTTCAATCTTTCTCCCTCCCTTTACTCTGTTTCTACTTCTTAGGAATGTGCACATTACTTCCTCGAGGTCAAAGACAAAGATATCAAGCATGCCTTGGCTGGGCTTTTCGTTGAAATTCTTGTCCCAGTTGCTGCTGTGAGTTACATTTTCATTTTTAAGAACTTCTTCAAATTGGATTAGAGAAGGAACAATTTCATTAATATAATATAAACATGCATCTCTATTTCAGGCTGTTAAAAATGAAGTAAATGTTCCCTGCCTCAGAAACTTTGTTGAAAGCCTATATGATACCACGCTGGAACTTTCTTCTCGAAAGAAGCATTCCTTGGTTAGTAACTCTGAGAAAATTCAAAAGACAAAACTGCAGAGACTAAAATTCCTAGGCTGAAATCTATTTGAGAGTCATAAGGGTTCCACAGATGGGAGAATTACCTACAGCTTCCTCAAAGAGAGGTAGCATTTCAAATTTTGGAGCTTCCACCTATTACTGACCATGACTGAATCAAGGTAACATAAGGGGATTAGACCATGTCACCTCAAGGACCCTTCTAGTCCTAAAGATTCCGCTGTTCATTTTCAAGATGGGTTTAACTTATTTTTATTTTAATTTCTGAGTAATTTTTCAATCTGAAGACTAAAGTTTATAACAACAGTTTCTTTTCTCAATCCCCAGGAAGCTTCACTGGCTAATTCCCAGCCTGATATTCAGAATCAAAATGGAACCAGGCAGGAAAGGGAGTTGGGACACAGATAGCTGGCCATTGGAAAGATTCTCTGAAGGCTGAGAAAACAGTTTCAGGGAATGCTTTTGTACTGAAGAGCAGCATAGAAAAGTCTTTTAAATTACCACAACCTTTTTCCTCCATGGTAAATAGAGCTCTGGTTTATGAATCGGCAGGTGGTAGACCAGCTGTAATTGTGGTCGTATGGAGCGAGCGGGTTGCTTAGGGAGCCGGTTTCTAGCCTTGTTTATGCTAATCTTTAAAGTATGAACATTACCACCATTATTTGAGCAAATAGTTGCTTTGCTGGCAGTGGTGACAGATTTGCTCATTTGTCTACATGCTGTGGTCGTTGTGACTGCTTGTATTTTTGTTTTTAAATTACTGGCTGGAATTAGAGTTGCAATCAATGGCAGTAATAGTTCAAAGTCAGTTTAAAACTAAGTTAACAACAACAACAAAATAAGTGTATGGATTGTTAAGCACTGAGTCTCATTGTGGCAATAGATTTTTGCTCATTCACGTTAATGGATGAGCGAGTTATATTTCTGTTTTAATCTTCACTAGCCCTAATTTTGGGGAGCGCCATAATCTGGTTCAGCAAAATGGTGGTGGGTTCTGCATGTATATTGTTTGGGTGGCTGCCCACAAGCTTTTCTGTCTTCTCCAGTTGCTGCGGGAAACCTGCCCAGTTAGGCAGGAAAAGCACAGTGGCACCTCTGTTTATTCACTCGTAAGCAGATTCCTTCTGCGGTTAAATTTGTCTGGGTGGAGTTTACCAATGCAGTAACATTTCTTTTAGGAATCTTCCTTAATTACAGGAGGATTGCATGCAAAAGAAAACACATACACCTACCTCTAAGACAGGGACAAACTGGTAGATGTTTATGAGCACAAAAGCCAGTAACATTTTCAAAATCAGTGTGCCTTCCTGCTTTTTTTCCTGAGGCTTGAGAGGGATCTACGATAGTTTGTTTTTAAAATTTATGAGTGAAGACTAAATCAGTGAATCAGATTTCCACTTATGATCCATGAAACTCACTCTCTACCCTCTACATAACTCTAGAGCATTCCATCCCCATCGTCCTCAGAAAGCATTCGCAAAATATCCATGTCTGCACCGCACTTGTTGCGCCTGGGTGTGTTACAAAGTGGGTGGTGGTTCCAGAGAGCGTGTGTCACCTGGTTGGTTGAAATAGACATCACCCTGTGACCTCATCTTCTCTCTCCTCAGGCTTTGTACCCGCTGGTGACCTGTCTGCTCTGCGTCAGCCAGAAGCAGCTATTCCTGAACAGGTGGCACGTTTTCCTCAACAACTGCTTATCCAACCTTAAAGTTAGTATTTGTCGGCTCAGAAAAGTCTTCTATAAAAATATGTATGAGTCCGAGCCTGGTTTGTGTGTTTCTGAGAGTGACTCCTGATGTCTGCAGGGGAGATGATCCTGTACTATTTTGGAATAATGAAAAAAATAATAAGAGTTTTCCTTATTAAATATAGTCAGTTTTAGAAGGCGACTGGGGTTAAGAGAAATCATGTCAAATTGGGGGGGAAAATCTTTTCTTTTAAAATTTTTTTTAAATTTTAATTTTCTTATTGAAGTATAGTCAATTTACAATGTTGTAAAATCTCGCCTAAGAAGGATCACTTTAGAAGCTTTTTTTTTTTTGTTTTAATATTTATTTGGCTGTACCGGGTCTTAGTTGCAGCACGTGGGATCTAGTTCCCTGATCAGGGAGTGAACCTGGGCCCCCTGCATTGGGAGTGTGGAGTCTTAGCCACTGGACTGCCGGGGAGGTCCCTAAGAAGGATCATTTTAAAGGTAGAATTAAATACCCCTCTATATGCATCTATGGTCACACTTTTTCTAAATGATTAAAAAAAGGGAGGCCACACTTCACTGGCAGAAGCTCACCTAAACCTCCTCCAGCCTTTCTCTAACCTCCTCCAGGCTAGGGAAATATTTGGGGGGGGGGCGGGGGGAACGTTCCATTCTGTGGGAGGATTGACCTATTACCAGAGAACACTTATTTCCTGTCCCTGTTATTTGTGATTGTTTGAAGATGTTCTGTTAAAGCCACGTGCTGCCAGTCAGTCCTAAGCATCCACTGAACAACAGCTTTTCAGATGCTGGTTGACATGGGAACCAATTCAGGGTGCCTGAAACCGACGAACCTATAGTTAAAACAACTGTAATGGCTAGCTTTAAAATAGGCTTTATAACTTTTAATGTTGTGAACATATTTTAAGTTTTAGTGACCTATTGATAAAAGACAACTAAATGAACACTGTTTCTAATATGTGCAAATAGCACATATTTTTCACAGTTGTTCTCAGTTGTGTCCAAAGATGTTGAATTCCTTTTACCAGGTTAATACTTGCTTCTTTAGAATTTTTGAAATGCACTTAGTTGTAAAGTGCTGTATGTGCTTATACATATTGCCATGTCTTTTTTGTTCTAAGACCCTTTAATTTGGTGAAATGGTCAAGATTAATTATATTATTTTGTCACTTATCATATAATGACACAATAGTCTGCATTGGGGCTGTTTTAAGCACCAGCTATGTACTGGCTCTAAAAGCTGATTGTGAAATCCAAGATTAGAATCATTTATTTTCTTCAAATTGGCAGGGAAATATAATAGCAGTGGATATAGAATTAGCTTTTAAGAATTCTGGGAAACACATTGTTTTTCAGGGTATCAGCTATTATATAATGGCCACCTTCAGATGTTTGATTCAGGGATTTATCCATCTGTCAAACGCCTCCAACATGTAACCCAATGTCATTTTTTTGTTATATTGGTCCATTTTTAAGTTATTCCGCTATTCCATTTAAATATTTTTTTCTTCTACATTTTACACAAAGAGGAAAAGCTCATTTTGTTCAAAACGAAACAAAAAGAGAAATGATTAAGAATGTTCATTTTTCTGTATATATTATGCTAAATGTGTTTGTGATGAATTTTAGTTAGAACCAAAATAGTGTTTTGCCTGACAATTTACTGTTGTGGCCAAAAATACCAAAATTCTTGGTGTCTGGAGTTGCTTTTGAAATACAGCAGCATAATCTTACTTTGCACTTAATTGCTTTAAAGTTAGAATGTTGTTTGAAGGTCTGGTCGAAGCCCACCAGAAAGACTTAATAACAGGGTTACACACAGCCCTAGAGAGAAGGGCTGCACGCTCATGGTGTTTCCCTGTGCAAACATTTCAAGCATCAGGATTTCTCAAAGGGAAAGGCAATAGGATCAGAAGGAGTAGAGGTGCTAGGGAAGGTGCCGGAAATTGGAAAGATAGGGATGTTAGTTCTATAAAAATTAGATCTAGGGTCCCTGTTCTCAAGGAACTTGGCATTTCATTGGGGGATATGTAATGAAGTTTCAAAATGCGTGATGCAGACAAGGAGGGATGTAAAAGTTGGGAGTAGGGAGCTACCTGTGCCATTTCTGGAGGTCTGGTAATCCATGAAGCATGAAAGAGGTAGTTATTAGGCAACGGAAAGGCAATGATATTTCACTTTATGGGTAATAAATTATTGGAATTCACCTCCTCAAGGGTAAAAGATACAGAAAGATCCTTGATGAATTGCAATCAGAATAAAATTGTATCACACGTATTTAGAACTAAACCTGATGAGTTACAATCGAAATAAAATTGTATCACACATATTTAGAACTAAACCCAGTAGGGATTAAATGGGACCATTTAAAAAATTACAGAAAACCTTCCAAACCTCCTCAAGTGTCCTCGACAGGGAAGAAATACCTGAGGAAAAACTAACATGGCTTTAGGGGTACACTTTGTCTTGAATGGCTTCAGTATTCTGTGGGATTTAGAGCCAAACATACCATTTCAGAAAGGACCGCCAATCCAGCTCTTTCCTCTGGTCACCATCCCTTTTTCCCTGCATCCCCTCCCCTACTTGTCTCCCCATCCTCTATATGTACTCAAGTATAATGAACCCAGTGTTTGAACCTTACATGTTGAACTTGGTAGCCACCTTTGATATGTTCTGCAGGGGAGAGCCATCAAGGTGGCAGCATGACATAGAGCAGAATAGAAATGTGTGTGAGTGTGAAAAATCTGCTTTCAAAGTAAACAAGCTCTCAGATTCAATGCCCATTTAACGTCAGTGCCCTGGTTTATCCTCAGCGTCAGTCTGTCAGAAGCAGGCTGCTTTGGTAACACAAACGTGAAGTCTTTATTTACACTTGTTAACTCGGTCAATCACGTATTAGCGATAGACCCTTGTAAAGTGGTGAGAAGTTTACAACACCTTCTCACCACGACCTTGACATCTTTCAGGAACCCCTGGTAAGTAGTGACCAATACTTTTTTCTTCTATGTATTTTATGTCAGAATCTGAACATATTGAGCTATTTTAAAATGTTACATTCCCTTCACATCTGCCATAATATATCTCATTCTGAAAAAGGGAAGTATGTTTTGAAAAATTGACTTAATAGTACTTTTTTTTTGTCATGAATCCCCATTTATTAATAGTTCTTTTAAAATGTCGTAATTATTGTGTTCATAATAACTATGTACACGTTTCTTATCCTCGAAAATGGATAATATAATTGGGAGAATCTTTAAATTTCCTTTTCCTTAAAATAATGAATATAATATACCAGTGAGGTCTTGATCACAGAAACAAACAAAAAAGGAAACCCCAAAAGTTAAGAAATCTATTTACTGTATAATTAATAACAACAATAGGTCTCATTAATTGGAGATCTGTTATGAGCCAGGCCAGCAGTAGGGCCTTTACATACATGTCATGGATTATCATGACAATGTCACAAGCCGCATTGACCTCCCCCTGTGCTTTCATGATATTAGTTATGTTTTTCTAAAAATTTTGCTCAGATAGCAATATTGAAGGTATATCATCTGAAGGTTAGACATTAGTCAGCTTAGCTTCATAGTACTAGAAGCCAAAGTACAGAATTAAAAAGGATTCTTCTTTTGTCTCAGTCACTATTTGCGCTGGGACTTGAATGCATTCGCTTAGTCAGTTGGTCAACAATTCTTCACTAGAACTGTACCAGGCACTGTTCCAGGTGCTGGGAATAAGTGATGAATGAGATAGTAGTAACACGCTGGTCTCTTAGACCTTATAATTTAGTGGAGGAAACAGACAGGAAACAAGTAAACAAGTAGATGAGGAAAAAAACTTCAGATAGTGATAACTGCTATGAAGAAAATCAAATAGGGTATGATGATAGAGAATTACGGATTCAGAAGGGGCAGGGAAGAGGAGGGGACAAGGAAGGTCTTTTGCTTTCCACTAAGAGTCTCAGAGTTTCGTTGCCATAAATTTGTTTGATGAAACTTGTGTTTGGCACTTAGTATATCTTTGTGTGTAATAATCACTATGAAGTTAAAGGAGTGCTTTTTCTTAACTTTTCACATAAAAGTAAGGGTATTAATGAAATCTCTATTTTATGAGGGGAAGGATTGAGTAATATATTAAGGATTCCACAGTCATTGCCTGAATCCATTAAAATGTATGGTACCATTTAAAACAACTACTGTCCTCTTTGCAAATATCAAATGTAAGTGATGCAGTATTAGCTATTTAAATATTAATTTTCAAGAAATAGTTATACTGCTTTAATATTAACTTTATTTCTATAAACTTGAGAAAATCTCTTATCTATGTTTCAGATCTGTCAAAGGCACATTTCAAAGTGGAATTTATAAATTCTAATAGTGCACACAAATTGATTCCAAAAATTAGGGATCAGATGACAGGTGTGTTACTTTCTGTGAATGCCTTATTTATTCAGCCAATGAATAGAAAAATAATCTCTGTAAATTTTTGGTACAGAAATTTTAGAGGTTATCCTAAACTATAGCACATATGTTATTTGGATAATACAGTCATCAAAAAGATTGAATTATGATCAGAGTAAATTGATTCAGGTATCAAAAGGAAATGCCAAAAGGAAGGAAGGTGTTGACTGTGATATGTGCAAGGAAATATGAGAAAGAAATAGGTTTACTTCAGTTGCTTTAGTTGCAATGCAAGAGAAATCTAGAAGAGTTTTGAGTATAACAAGATCAAAAGACTAAAATTATTTATTGATCTGTAATCAATGGATCTTTATCTCTGTGTGCATAAGGATCTCTAAGGAAGCCTGTTACAAATGCAACTTGTTGAAACCTACCTCCGGAGATTCTGGTTTAGAATGTCTGGGTGCAGCCGAGGAATTTGCATATTCATAAGCAGCCTGGGTGACTGGGTGCAAGTGGTCAGCTGATGGGTCATGGGAAACATGGGTCTGTCCAATGACCCTGTCACTAGCCAAGTTATCAGTGAATTCAGTGCTCCCTACTTGTTACTGTTAACACTGAATTGCTTTAACTAAATCAAAAGCACAATTTAAAGAAGGTGGGCATGGTGTTGGGCAGGTTGACATGTCACATGAAGTCTGTCTGTGACCAGCACTGAGATGAGATGCAGGACACCAGGGAAGATCCACTCTGAAGCCTACTAGATTCTTGAACAGTTTTATCACTGTAACCTCAGAGCTAGTATAGATAAGTTGTTGGTTAATTAATTAATTGAGAAGCGTATTCCAGTGGAAGAATAGAATAGTCTTTCCATCTTGGAGTGGAGACTTTTGACACAGAAGTCGGTGGTTTGAGACATAGGTTAAAAGTGTCAAAATCCTGAAACTATATATCAAGACCTTGTTATGTTAGCTGCTGTTGACATACAAAGACAATGAGGAAAAAGTCCTGTTTTCAAGTAGAGTACAGTCTAGTAGGTGCCAGCAGCATATTTGATCAGCCTCCATATAATATTTCCACTGAAGTGGGAAAATTCATGTTTGGAAGACACCGGGGCCAGATTGCTTAGGTTCAGATGCTGGCTCCGCCACTTATTAGCCCCTCTGGGCCTTGATTTCCTCATCTGTGAAAGGATACAATAACAGTATCAACTTTATGATTCTGAGAATTAAAAAGAGTTAATATGTGTACAATTTTGATAACAACACCTGATGTAGTAAGCATCCTGTAATATACACATTCCAGTTTCTGAGAAAACAGTCCTTACTGGACCAGAAGTCAGTTCCTATCCCACCTGTTATTTACTGGCTTGAAGACTTGAGCCAGTGATTTGGCTTCTGTCAATGACAGAATCGCCCAATTGATGTCATGGTCTATGAAAGTACTTTTGAAATATCAGAATGCTGTAAAAGTGTAAGATGTTCAGTAATATCATGTCCATTAGCTTCAGCTACGTACTAAGGGTTGCCTTTTGTACAGTTTCTATATAAAGACATTTTGCTTACACATCACGTTCAGCTACTACTCGCAGTTTGCTTTTTTAAAAAAAAATTTGATATTTACTGATAACCTGCTGTACGGCAGTCACTGAGGGCACAGAGATGAACAGTCCAAAATTCCTGGAGCTCACAGCCTGGTAGGAAACATATCAATACAAGTAAAGGTATAGAACAGCATTCTAGAAGTCAGAGAACAGGAACACTTGGTAATCTCTCTGGGATGGAGGAAGGAGTGGAGGGGCAGGGGAACGTAACACAGGAGTGACACCTAATGAATCTTGCTGGGGAGTAGGAATTTTCCAAGTAAAACAAGGGTAGGGAGGCATTCCAGGCATTCGATGAATTGCAGAAGGGATGTTATGGCACAGAGCACAGTGGGGGTGGAGGCGGAGGGTGGTGATGGGGGAGCCAGGTCACCAAAGGCCCCTCATGCACCACATCATGGAATTTGGACGTCGTCCAGGAGGTGATTAGAAGCCACTTAAGTGCTTTAAATGCAGGGAAGTAAACAATCATGGTTGCAGTTTAAGAATATCATATGATAATGCCGAGAATGGAAGAGAAACAAGGGAAATCATTTTAGGAGAGAATTGCAGTGATCAGTGATATCATCTTGAAATGCTACAAAGCAATTACCGGTACAGGATCCACGGTTAAAACAATAAAAACTTAAGTCAGCCACTTTGCTCTTCAGTCTCTGTGAGAGCACAAATAGACAATCTCAAACATATTCTTAAGAGTAACAGCACGTCAGTCATAACAGCATGCCCCCAAAAGATAATTGTGGGTAGGAGGACAGGGAAAAAGTGTAAAAGAAGTTAAACAGAAGACAGTAATCGGAATCATTTAAACTAGAGATCTTAGTTAAGCTCCTAAATGAAAGTTAGATGCTACTTGCCCTACCTGGCCATGATTCACAGTGCGAGATAAGGCACAAGAGAGAATTTTGAATGACACACTATGCAAATATGAATATAAAATAATATATACACTAATAAAGGGAAATTCACAAAGGAGGAGACATTCCCACTAGAAACGAAGCTCCCTGAAGTCAGAGACTAATCTCCTTTGTTTGCTACTGAATCTGCACCTTGTACGTAATAATAGTTACTATGGGCAGGAACAGTGCTAACTTCCCTCTATGTGCTAACTCTTAAGTTCTCTTAACACTCCTAGGAGGGAGGGAGGATTAGTATCTGCGTTTCACAGTTAGGGAAAATCAGGCCCAGAGAGATTACAGAGGTTCCCTGAGGTTGGCCACACAGCTAATAAATTGCAGAGCAAGGATGGGTTTAAACCCAGGCAGTGTGTGTCTAGAGTCTGCTTTTAACCACTGTGTTAACATCATAGACATTTGCTGATCTGGAGTGATTAGAGAACAGATAATTAGAATTCCTGAAATTTTTAAATGATGGAATATTTTAAACGCAACTTTACTCTTTCAGTAGTTTATTAAAATTCCTTTACGTAACCAGGACATTCAACAAGTTATAAGGTGTATCACTTGTTTTACTAACAGACAAAAAAAATCTTTTATGTATAAATGTATGCTTCTAAAAAGTTGGGGCTTTTTTGTTTCCTGGAGCTAGAAAAGTAGTTATAAAGTTTATTTGGAAGAATAAATACACAGGAATATCTGGGAAAGCCCTAAAAATAGAAAGAAAAGAAAAAGAGCAGTGGATGGTGGAAGGTAGGCCATACCAGATAGTAAAACACATCATAAAGCCTCAAAAATTAAAATGATGTGTTTTATCATTTTCTTTATTTACTTATTTAGATTAATAGAAGAAAAAAATCCGGAATGAGACCAAAATGCATATAGAAATTTAGAATTTCATAATAATTTCATGCCAAGAAGTTATTTTAAAACTATTTAGGCATAAGAAATCTTTTCTAAATCTAAAAAACTACCCCCTACAGTCTTTTCCGTAGAATTTATTTATGTGACTCATCTTTATTCAGCAAGTAGCTTAAAGGTAAACTTATCCTAGATTATGTCTAAACCGTTAAGAATTCTTAACAAATCAGGACCCGAATTATCTACACTTAGAATAGAACAGCAGAAACGGTTGTGACGAGATTAATGAATGAGTAGGGAAGAGAAGTAATGTAAAAGCAAAAGACCTATAGGAAAGTTGAGTGACGTTTGAAGACTGTTTAGCAAACATGTATTGATCCCCTGCGGAGTGGCAGGAATTCTAATAGATGTTGGGTAAATAATGCCCCTCACTTTCAGAGAACCCACCTTCATGTGGGAACTGATGTCTATGCAAGACCACAAGTAAAGAGCTGAAAGCCTATGTTACATGCTTGTATGAGGGTCAGGGGACACTCAGGAGGGAATAATTCGTTTTAATGGATGGGATTCAGGATATTGGGGAGGAACAGAGAAAGCCTGCACGGAGTTGGGAACATTCAAGTAAGCTGTGAAAGAGTGGGGTTCACCTGGTAGAAAAGAAAGACACAGGGGAGGGTAGGAAACCCACTCCTGATGCAGACATGGAATGAACGTGGCCTCACTAGAGTTTGGGGAGCTTGTGGGAGAAAAACAGAATGGGTGGCATCCTTCACTGGTAGGTTAGAGCCAGATACTGTCTGGTCAGGTATGCCGTGCAAGAAATGTTCCCTTGATCCCATAGGCATCAGGAAAACCACCCAATCTCTGATTTTTAAATAGAAAGGATTATAATCAGTGTAAGACAGGACAGCAGTGAGGGAATCAATTTAGGGAGACTGTTTAGGAGGTTACTGCAGCATCCCAGGAGAAGGTGCTGGAAGCCTGAACTGTAACAGAGGAAGTGGGAATGGAGAAGATGCCAAATTCAAAACATATTTTGTAGATAAAACCTATAAAATCAGTTGAAAGGATGGAGTGAGAGTCAGAAGGGAAAGAATGAAGGTGATGTCCATCCAGTGACGAAATCCATTCCCCCCACCTGGCCTGTTTGTTAGACCCTGGAAGCTGGCAGCTGTGCTCTGGCTGCCTCCCTGCCCCTGCTTCATGCCCCACGCTGCAGACTTCTCACATGGTCTCCTTGCGCTTCATGGCTTCCTGTCACCATCATGAGAACCCTGGTCCCGTTATTTAGCATGGCACGTAGGGTTCTTCTCAAGCCTCCTCAGCCACTGCTCCTTCGCCTGGCCCTGTGTCCTAGCAGAAAAACCATCCCCAGTTTCTGAAACATGACTCCTTCACCTGCTCTCTTAGCTTCTTTGTGCTGTTGCCTCTCTGTAAAGTGCTCTTCACTCCCCATCATCTTGTTTTCTAGTGTCAAGCATAGTACCTGGCCCAGTGTAGCCACTCGAATGTTTGCTTAATGAACAAATGAGTGAATGGATTTAAGTTCGTCTGAGTTTTCGTCTGCCCCTGGAAACCTTTCCTGACCCCAGTCCTTGTGTTTGCCATAGGTTGCCCTTCTTTCCATCCTCTAGCTCCCGTCCCCGCCAGTTTTTCTCTGTGTCTTTGAGTTGACTGTTTATTATTTGTCTCCCAACTGCCACCCCTTCCCCATCGTCTGTGAACATCTTAGGGAAAAAGGATAAACTTTTATCTCTATATCCCAGTGCTTATTATATATTATTAGTCTCAATAGATGTTGGAGGGCAAAGAGATGGGAGGTGAAGGTGGGTGGTGTTTACAAGGGCATAATCAACAGTAGGACGGATTGATTCTCCTCTTGGCGCCAGGGGATGTGGTTCCCTAGGACCTGGAGGAAGAAAGCAATCGCCAGTATTCACCTTAGAAAGGAGAGAAAGACGTGACTTCCCCCTGAACTGCTCAGTCCTGCCCTCTTGGCTATTTGGATCCATTCTCAGAGATTATTTACCCAATGGGCACCAGGAGGCAAATACCCCATAAGTCCCAGGTGGTGCAGTGTACCTCGTAGGCACCCTACCACCCACCTGTGGTCCTCCATTACCAGGCATTCAGAAAAGAATAACCTCTGTACAGTACCATTTAATCTGCAATCTTTTATCTTGGTTTCTGTTGTAGAATAAAGACCCCAAGATGGCTCGAGTTGCACTGGAATCTCTGTACAGATTACTTTGGGTTTACATGATTCGAATTAAATGTGAAAGCAACACAGCCACTCAGAGGTAAGGAGCTGGCTTGGGTTAATGGTAACCCCATCACTGAGTTAACTGTAACCACATCACTCAGCCAGTGAAAAGGGTGTTTTGTGTCATTGCCAACTATGCTAACCAAACTAGAAGCTGTTCAAAGCTGACAGTTTGTAAAAGCTCTAAGTCCTCTGGACCTTTTCAGGCTTTCCTTAGACGTTGGCTCAACAGCCATTACAGAAACTCCAGCCTCTACCAGGATTGCCAAGTTCTGTGTCAGGACTACATTCACCACTTTAACAAAGGAAGTGGCTATAATTTTCCAGCTGCCCTTAGTTTTCCAGAAAACCTTTTCAGAGAGTAATTATGCTAATGGAAAAGAGATGAAGTGGTTTGTTTTCTTTCTCTGAATTCTCTCTGATACTTAGATAAGATGAAGCACCTGCCATTTTCCCTTAATGTACAGGAGCTCAGCCAATCTTGCTTGTTTTCTCTTTTTTTCCCTTATCTTTCAGCCGTCTTATAACCATCATCACAACACTTTTCCCCAAAGGGTCCCGTGGTGTGGTGCCGAGGGACATGCCTCTGAACATCTTTGTGAAAATCATCCAGTTCATTGCCCAGGTAATGGAGATGCTTCTGGCAGTGAGAGTCTTCTAATTGCCTCTGAGTAGCCACCTCCTTCTTATGAAGTACTAACAGATGAAGAGTCTAAAATAATCTCACGTGCGCAGACTTTTCAGGATGGTTTTGCAAGTGTTTTCACACATAGCTTTTTTTTTTTTTTTTTTTTGCTTCAAAACAAATTGTGACATGGTGTGCCAAGTGTCTTCAGCGTTTGACCAATGAAAGAACTGAGAGGCAGGGTTTAAGTGACTGATCTGAGGTCACAGAGCCTATTCGTAAGAGGGTCTCTTGACTCCTAGGCCCTGTTTGTTCCTGCTTCTCTGCTCTAGATGCTTCAAGTCAGGAGGAAATTGAGTCTGATGTTTGGAGGAAATAAGAAGATGATAATTTAGTGAACTTGGAGGAGTAAATAAATCATAATGCTCTTTCACCCTGTGGAAAAGAAGAATGCAACAGGAATATTAGCTTTTATCAGGCACTCATTCTTTGCCAAGAACTGCTTTAAGCACTTCATACATACTATTTTACTTAAGACCTGGGTCCAATGATATTAAACACTTAGTGTTTGCCATTTAGACCCAAGACTTTTAAAAGTTGTTGTTGTTTTTCTTTGCGGTACGCGGGCCTCTCACTGTTGTGGCCTCTCCCGTTGCGGAGCACAGGCTCCGGACGCGCAGGCTCAGCGGCCATGGCTCACGGGCCCAGCCGCTCCGCGGCACGTGGGATCCTCCCGGACCGGGGCACGAACCCGTGTCCCCTGCATCGGCAGGCGGACTCTCAACCACTGCGCCACCAGGGAGGCCCTAGTTTTTAAAACACTTTGTGTGTAAATGGTTTTTATCCTAACTTTGGCTTCCTTGTGATTTACAGAGAAGCATGAAAAGCTGGTTATTCCAGTCCAGCCTCTGCCGTGAGCCAGCTCCATACCCTAAAGAAGTCATAGAACATCGTTATTCTCAGTGTCTTTATCTATAAAATGTGGATGAAAGTGCTTACCCAGTATCCCTCAGAACGTTGTGTGGATAAAGGGAAATAATAGGCATGAAAGTACTGTTGAAGTGTAATTGATATTGCTATAAAGACATAAGGTTCAATGGCTACTTCACAGACCATTTAATATATAATATCTCTCTGTGTTTTTAGTGCAAGGAAGTGTCTATGTAATATTTGTACTTAGGGAAAGGACAGTACTTGCTCTGCAGGTGGATGAATTAACAGAACTTTTCTACATGTAGTTATCATGTGGCTGAGAATGTGCTTTGATTATTCTGGAATATATTGTATAAAATCAACGTGACATATCTTAGTAGTCACTGTCTCAAATTATTAGAATCTGGCGTAAACGTTCTCATTTAAGTAACCTTAATAGTTCTTATTTGTTGATTATTCATTTCACTTGCAGGATTGTTGTTGATTATTCATTTCACTTGCAGGATTGTCTGTTGTAATATGAGGCAAGGGATTGGAAATGTTAGAGAATAGAAGAAAATGGTCATTTTGCAGTGGTATTTTTAAAAATATGTTTTAAACTGAGTTTCAAGAAGGTGTCAGCATTGGCAGGACAAGCAGGAAGAGTTTGCACTGTGTAGAAGCCCAGATACTCAGAGTGTTTTGGTTTTCATTTTTTGGTTTTTAGTTATTAGTCATTCTGTGCTTTAGGGTCTAATTACCTATATTATATAAAGCATCTCCACATGCCACATGGAAACAGGAGCAGCTCCACCGAAGGTTCGGACGGACATGGTTTTCCTTCACGGATTCTCTGTGATGCATCAAACTAAGCGATACCCCTCTTCTTTCAGAAGCCACCTGTTCGGTGCATATGACAAAAACAGACATTTTCATGTTGAATTAAAATAATGCTTTGTTTTGATTTCCCTTTTTCACTATAGGAACGTTTAGATTTTGCAATGAAAGAAATCATTTTTGATTTTCTTTGTGTGGGAAAACCAGCAAAAGCTTTCAGTCTCAATCCAGAGGTAAGAATGACCCTTTTGCGTTTATCGACAGAAACCTACCTTTGCTTTGCAACCTCGGGGGATGGGGTGAAGGCCGTCTTCTCCAAAAAAGTCTTGTGTTTGTTTCTGTCCATGTTATTTGACTAAAATAGTAGAGAAGTAAGATTTTTGGGTGAATAGACTTAGAATGATGAAAAGTTGACGTCTTACCACATTCTGTTCTTGTAGAAGGGAGTAAACCTTGCCCCGAAAGGTAATCTGTCTCTGTATGTCTGGTTGTTTGTTATAGAAAAGTCAGTACTTGTAACTATTTTGATGCAGATTAGCAAGTTGAGGAGTATTGAAAGTGATGAAACAGAGAAGAATAAATAGATGCAATGATAAAATACTAAAATCTAGTGAAATTAAATAAGTAATGTATGCATCTTTGATTCTGTGACAGCATCACAATTCAAGGGCCAGGCAGATCATGGAAATGAGTGTATAATGGGTATGATGTACCTCATGGGGGGGGGGCGGCTTAGGCAAATGAAAAGCACGTGCAATTTTAAACTTCTAAAAAGACTGTTGGTGGGAATTCCCACCAACAAAGTGCAGAGTCCTAACCACTAGCTGTAAGACATTGACCTCTCTGAACTTCAGCTTTTTTACTAGTAAAAGGGACAAACTACTTTTCTAGATCACCTCACAGAATCATCGTGATATTACAAATTCATAAGCAAAAAAAGAAAGAAATTGCACACCAGAAAAAAATTTTTAAACGTTGTTCCTGTCATCACTATATTGTCTGGCTCCTTCATTCTGTCAGTGAGGAAGGAGACCCAGAGCCCAGAGGCTCAGAATAGGCAGCTGGCTAGCAGCAAGGGGAACCCAGGTCTCCTTGCACCCTCATGCTTCTTCCCACCACACCCTGAATTCTCTTCTCGGCGCTAAGGTTGCCATGTATGTAGGCACAGCCCAACAAGCCCCAAAATGGGAGTTTCTGTCTGGTGTTTAATGACATCACAGGCTTCTGGAATGGCTGCAGCCAGGGTCAGTGGGCCAATGGGAGGGGGACGAAGCCAGTGCAAATTCAGGGCATTTTGGCTGGAAGGAGGCCCATGGCCCAAGTACTAAAGAGTCTTCTCTTGCTTGGGAACAGTGGTTCCATGCTTTTCAATGGATGAAGGATAGTCTTTTTTTTTTGGCTGTGCCGTGTGACGTACGGGATCTTAGTTCCCCGACCTGGGATTGAACCCTGGCCCCTGGCAGTGAAAGCGCAGAGTCCTAACCACTGCACCACTAGGGAACTCCCAGGATAGTTTTTCTAATAAATGGTACTAAACTGTTGGAAATCCACTTGCAAAATAATCAACTTCAACCCATAATTTGCCCTGTCAGGAAAAATTAACTCAAAATGAATCATAAGCCTAAATGTGAAATCCGACATCATAAATCTTCCAGAAGAAAACAGAAGATAAAAATCTTTGCAACCTTTGGGTAGGCAAAAATTTCTTAGATAAGATACAAAAAGCATAAATTACAAAAGAAAAAGTTGATAAAATACAAAAGTATGCACTTTAAAAGTTAATAAAGTGTAGGTAGAGCCACAGACTGGGAGAAAATATTTGTAAAACACGTATTGACAAACGCTTCTATCCAGAATATATAAAGAACTCCCAACTCAATAACCCAATTTTTTAAATGGACAAAATGAAGAGCCTCTTTACCAAAGAAGAGATACAAATGACCAATAAACCTATGAAAAGATGTTCAGCATCCTTAGTCATTAGGGAAATGCAAGTTAAAACCGCAGTGAGATGTGCTGAGAAGGATACAGAGCAATTGGAACTTTATACAATTGACGTTTTAGTGAGAATGCAGAATGGTACAACCATTTCTTATAAGGTTAAACATACACTTGGCATATGATCCAGCAGTTCTACCCCAAGGTGTTTATCCAAGAGAAATTAGAACATTTGTCCACAAAGATTTGTATCAACATTTATAGCACCTTTATTCATGATCACTAAAAACAGGAAAGCAACTCATGTTCAAACAGCTGGTGAATGTTGAAACAACTTGTGAATCATCAACACAATGGAATACTATTCAGCCATAAGAAGGAACAAACTACTGATACTGCAGCAACACCTCAAAAGCATTAAGCTCAGTGAAAGAAGCAAGACACAAAAGGTTGTGTCTGTTTGCTTCCATTTATATCACATTCTGGAAAATGCAAAATTATAGGCAGAAATTAGACACTGATTGTCAGGTGCTGAGGCCGGAGGAGAGGACTGACTGACTGTAAAGAGGCACAAAGGAACTTTTGGGGATGATGGAAATATTTTATATCTTGACTGTGATGATAGTTACCTGACTATGTTTCTCAAAATTCAAAGGACTGTACAACTAAAAGGAGTGTATTTTACTATATGAGAATTATATCTCAGTAAACTTGACTTCAGTAGAAAACAGTGGAGATTCTAGCCTACAATATATATTTACCAGCGGGAACTTTTCAGGTATTAATCCTCACCATAGCCCTATATGATCAATAGGTATTATTATTCTCATTCTACAGAAAGGAAGCTGAGACTTGGACTTGGAAAAGTTAAGTAATTTCTCAAGACCAGACAGATAATAGAAGGAGAGGTATGATGCAGAGCTATATAAAACATAAGAAGAAATTGTTTTTGAAATTAAGTTAAAAATATATTTCCCAAACTATCCCAACTTACTTCTGCCCTTAGAATTAGTCAGAGAAAAGGAAAACTAAGAGAACTGGCAAGGATGGCTCATAAATTGGATAATCCACTTGCAAATAATTGAAGCTTGATCATTTAAGTCAATTCACAGTCATCCTATTGATACTGCATCTCCTGAATTAAACACTGTATTTCCTCACCCAAAACAATGCTGTGTCTTGAAAAATATCCACAAATCTAGAAAACATTTCATGAAAGAACTACTAAAATGTGAGGAAACTAATGGACTTTAATATACATTTAAACTTTTTAAAATGAATACTCTTTCATTTTAGAAAATGGAGAAAGAATATTACTGAAAACCATAAAATCATAAAATACACATTGGATTGGGTATGAATGGGCCAGAGAAATGTTTACCCCACCCTGGTTGAAATACCCCTACTCCTTGAAGCTTGAATAAATAGTTTAGAAGTCGATATTACTTCATGTTCTAAGATATAACCATGTACTGCAGAATAGGTGATTCGGGCAAACCCAACTTGAATGTATAGCTTCCCACCTACTAGTTATGTGGCCCTCTGTTTCCTCACCTGAAAAATGGGAATAATCATACCTTCCTTGCATGGCTATCTTAAAGATGAGAGTTAATGAGCAGTTCTGGATATATTTTAAGAACTCAATAAATTGTAATTAGATTATCATTGTTAGTAACGGTAATTATTTTCTGCATTAGGTAGCGGTCTACTTAGGGAACTTATTACTTGATGTGGTTTGAAAATATGAGTGTAAGTGTTTACACATGGCTGTTTAAGGAACTACAGATGTTTTAGTACCTTCTGACCTTTTAAGATTATTGCTGCTGGGAGCAACTATCTTACTGAGTCATCTTTCAGAGCCAATATTATGCCTTATCTGAGCCTGGGGAAGATAATGATCTGGCCCAGAATGACATTTCTTCTTATGAGTTTATGTGTTTTCATAAGTAACAGGTTCTGTGGCTTCAAATTATTTAAATTTATTTTCAAACTTGCCAGCCTTTGTGAATCAAAAGTCAACAACCTGCAATTCAGACCAGACGACTTACATTTTTATGATTCACATTTGGAACTCCCGTTTGTTTTCATTCAGTCTTTGTGAGTTAACACATGTCTCCTCCCAGGAGACAAAGAGATTTTTGTTGACCTCAGTTTACCTTAGTTGCAGCTGCTCCAAAGGGTGACTGCCTATCCCTTGGAGGTGCACCCAGGATCCCCCAAACAGAATGAATCTGACCATCTCAAACATACCCTCCAAGTTTGGTGAAAATCTTCCCAGTTGTTTTCTTGTGATGCAGCAACAAATAGTGTCAGAAACTTAATTTCATTTTCCTAGGTTTGGCCTAAACGCTTTTAAATGATTTTCCCACGCTAATCTAGAAGGCAAACCATGCTTAACTTCTTTTGAAAGACTGATGGCTTAATTTCACAACAATAATTGGGTCTTTCTCTTTACCATGAACATATTGTCTCTTACAGAGGATGAACATTGGTTTACGGGCATTCTTGGTCATAGCTGATAGCTTGCAGCAGAAAGATGGGGAACCTCCCATGCCAGTTACCGGAGCCGTTCTCCCTTCAGGAAACACACTGAGGGTGAAGAAGACATATCTGAGTAAAACACTAACTGAAGAGGAAGCCAAAATGATAGGTGGGTTTCAAAGATATGTTTGCACTGGACCTTATTAAGCCTTTAAAATGACCAATAGACACTTACCCTTAGTGAGATATATTTTTAAAATCTTCATAAAAGTAGCTGATGAGACATGTCAACATTAACTGTTTTGATTCATGCTGTGGTTTGTTTTACTGCCCTTTAAACTCTGGAACTTCCTGGTAAACATTTTGCCGTTTAAATGTTAGATTTTTATCTGTGGTCTTTTCAAACTTCTAATATTGATAATTTGCAGTTTACAGTAAATTTCTAAGCCATCTGTGTGCTTTGGTAGATAATCCTGTTTATAAAGCAAACATGAATATATTCATTCCCTCATTCATTTTTATAGTTCCTTTTCTTCTATTTTTTTTTCAGTAAAATTAGTTTAATCTGTGTTTTAAACATGCCAAGTCCCATACATGCCAGGGTATATTGTGGGTTTAGCCTACATGAGATTATTTTCTTTTTAATTTAACTATCTTAACCCAAAGAGATGATCTTTTGCATTTGTTTCTCTTTTACCAAGTTCCTGAATTTAGAAACCTACTGCAAACTTGTTAAGTTAGTTTCTGGATTCCAGAGACCTAGAGGAAACATATGAGGAAACTTTTTCCTTTAAAATATTTATCTTTAGTTATGCAATGCTTAAATGAGTTCAAAAATATCAATACGAAATACATATTCTGTACACATTTTCTTCCACTGTATTAATGAGAGTGGTAAAAATAATATACCTGAGGTAAATTTTTCTTCATTTAAAAATTTATGATATGAAATCATTTGTTGCCTTTACTAAGAAAACCCACACATATATTTCAGAGAATAATATAAAGTTATTAAAATTCTAACCCCGAATGAGAATTATCTTTTATTCACATAACCACTCATTATGCTGAATTTTTTTATACTAACCAGAAAACTAAAAATTCTAGTGTGGAACTTTCTGGTTCCTTGTTTATTTTTACTCTTCTGGAAAATATTTCCCTTTGAAGTATTAGAATTCCTATGTGTTAAATTTAAATGATTCTTTCGGGAACACCCACTACATGTGGGTACTATGCTAAGGGTCCTGCAGATAAGAGATTAAATTGGACTCTGCTCAGAGAATTCACTGACCCGCAGAAGATCCTCAGTAAAAATATATCACAGAGGATGAATAAAATGGGATTTCACTCTTTGATAGATTTAGTCAAAGATGTAACTGTCATGTGTATTTTTCAGGCATGTCATTATATTACTCTCAAGTACGAAAAGCTGTGGACAACATTTTAAGGCACCTTGATAAAGAAGTAGGAAGGTGTATGATGCTAACTAACGTCCAGATGTTAAACAAAGAACCCGAAGACATGATCACGTGAGTACAGTGAGGACTAAGTTTTCAATGAAGGATTAATGAGCCAAAAGACACCATCAGAGGTTCTTCCCCTTTATTCTGTATTTTGTTCTCATGTTATTAAGAGTCCGAGTTCTAAGAAGTGTTAGGGATAGTAAAAACATCGTTTGATAATATTTGACTAACTGTAAAAATAAAGTCAAACCTGAGATTGATCTGTTCTGATAATATTTCAAGTATCATTAGGCCAGTAAGTTAGAAAATGGGCCCAAGACACTTTTACTGGTCCACATTTTCAGAAGTAATGTTTTGCTCTCAAGCCCATGTGATACAGCGTCATCACCAGTTTAGAGACATTCCATCTTTATGAATCTCAAGTTTACTCGTTTCTAGTGAGCGTTCCTGAACAGTGAGTTAAACCTGCTTAACATTCTCTATGTAACTGTGTCATAGAAATACTGGATTTTCAGAATGCATTTGTAGCTTAGAATGTAGAAATCAGATGTTCTTAGCCAAAATCCAAGATCTAGATTTGTAATTAGAGCTCCTCGTTAGAAACTCACACAATTTGATTTTGCTGCTTGTGATTAATTACGGCAGGAACGCAGGTTAGCTTATGACTATGTTTTAAGACAGTTTGGACTTCGTTGTTGAACTATGAATTAAATTATATTTGGCACCTGTGGCATACATTTCTAAACATACAATTAGGAAAATTTTCTTTGTCACTCAGTGTGTCCAATTCCAAATATCGCAGTTAGTTGGAACGTTGTTACCTATATAGGGAAGTTCATATTATGGGTGTGTATTTTTATTACAATAGTAGTATGTCAAAAACAAACTACAGTGAGACAAAACATGATAAAAAGTTAAAAATACAGAATTATTTTAAATACATATTTAGCAGTATGGCAAGTTAAAATGAAAGCCTCCTCCACAGAGCTCCACTTGAAATCTGCATCCATTCCTTGGTTCAGGGTGATTTCTTCCAGACCTTTCCCAATGTCAGCCCAAATACATATATACATTTTCTTTTTTTACAAAAATGGAGTTATACAATGTATATTATCCTGCAGCTTGCCAGTCACTTCATTTAAATGATATGGAGAGCATGTAGCTTTAGATTTTTCAACCAAAATGATAGCAGAATTGAAATTGACCAAAGTTAATGACATTAACTATCTTGTCTACAGATCTGGTCCTTACCTAACAAATTACCAGGTTGTCCATAACATTTAACCTCCTTACTGCATACTCTCTGAACATATTTAAGCAGTTTTCAGTTTACACTGTAGAAGATGTAAGAAATGCTTTGAAACCTGCTGCCATAGGGCTTCCCTGGTGGCTCAGTGGTTGAGAGTCCGCCTGCCGATGCAGGGGACACGGGTTCGTGCCCCGGTCCAGGAAGATCCCACATGCCGCGGAGCGGCTGGGCCCGTGAGCCATGGCCGCTGAGCCTGCGCGTCCGGAGCCTGTGCTCCGCAACGGGAGAGGCCAAAGCAGTAAGACGCCCACATAAAAAAAAAAAAAAAAAAAAAAAAACTTACTGCTGCCATATTGTTGTTTCCTCTAAAATAGTAAGGAAATGAAAGGCCTTCAAAGGAAAACTATGTTTATAATCCAGAGATCATAAGACAGGGTCAGGACCAAAACAAGACATTCAAAACCATAAAAGGTACAGGTTTAAATGTAAATGTTAACATTTCATTTGTATTTTCACAATACCTTAAACTTTTTCTAAGGCGATTTTTTACTTTCTCTTATTCAACTGTCTTAAGATGCCCTGCCCCCCCAAATAGGGCTAGAAATAGTTTTCATGCTAGACTTTAAAGCAGATCCCTGAGTGGAAAATGGCTCATGGCTACATTTCTAAAAAACAAAGAGATAGGGAGACCTTCAAGATGGCAGAGGAGTAAGACGTGGGGATCACCTTCCTCCCCACAAATACATCAGAAATACATGTACACGGTGAACAACTCCTACAGAACACCTACTGAATGCTGGCAGAAGACCTCAGACCTCCCAAAAGGCAAGAAACTCCCCACGTACTGGGTAGAGCAAAAGAAAAAAGAAAAAACAAGAGACAAAAGAATAGGGACAGGACCTGCACCGTGGGAGAGAGCTGTGAAGTCGGAAAGGTTTCCACACACTAGGAGCCCCTTCACGGGCAGAGACTGCGGGTGGCGGAGGGGGGAGCTTCGGAGCCGCGGAGGAGAGCACAGCCACAGGGGTGCGGGGGGTAAAGTGGAGACATTCCCGCACAGAGGATCGGTGCCGACCGGCACTCACCAACCCGAGAGGCTTGTCTGCTCACCCGCCGGGGCGGGCGGGGGCTGGGAGCTGAGGTTCAGCCTTCGGAGATCAGACCCCAGGGAGAGGACTGGGGTTGGCGGCGTGAACACAGCCTGAAGGGGGCTAGTGAAACACAGCTAATCGGGAGGGAGTCCAGGAAAAAGTCTGGACCTGCCTAAGAGGCAAGAGACCATTGTTTCGGGGTGCATGAGGAGAGGGGATTCAGAGCACCACCTAAATGATCTCCAGAGACGGGCGCAAGCTGCAGCTATCAGCACAGACCCCAGAGACAGGCATGAGATGCTAAGGCTGCTACTGCAGCCACCAAGAATCAGTCAGCCACCAAGAATCAGTATGTGCAAGCACAGGTCACTATCCACACCTCCCCTCCCGGGAGCCTGTGCAGCCTGCCACTGCCAGGGTCCCGTGATCCAGGGACAACTTACCTAGGAGAACACACGATGCCTCAAGCTGGTGCAACATCACACCGGCCTTGTCGCTGCGGGCTCACCCCGCATTCCGTACCCCTCTCTCCCCCAAGCCTGAGTGAGCCAGAGCCCCCGAATCAGCTGCTTCTTTAACCCTGTCCAGTCTGGGCAGGAAACAGATGCCCTCAGGTGACCTACGCGCAGAGAAGGGGCCAAATCCAAAGCTGAACCCCAGGAGCTATGTGAAAAAAGAAGTGAAAGGGAAATCTCTCCCAGCAGCCTCAGGAGCAGTGGATTAAATCTCCACAATCAACTTGATATACCCTGCATCTCTGGAATTCCTGACTAGACAACGAATTATCCCAAAATTGAGGTGGTGGACTTTTGGAGCAACTGTAGACTTGGGGTTTGCTTTCTGCATCTAATTTGTTTCTGGTTTTATGTTTATCTTACTTTAATATTTAGAGTTTATTATCATTGGTAGATTTGTTTATTGATTTGGTTGCTCTCTTCCTTTTTTTTTAATATATAGATATGTATATTTTTTTCCTTGTTCTCTTTCTGTGAGTATGTATGTATATGCTTCTTTGTGTGATTTTGTCTGTATAGCTTTCCTTTTACCATTTGTCCTAGGGTTCTGTCTGTCTGGTTGGTTTTTTTTTAGTACAGTTTTTAGCGCTTGTTATCATTGGTGGATTTGTTTTTTGGTTTGGTTGCTCTATTCTTTCTTTCTTTCTTTTTTTCTTTTTTTATGACTTTTTAACGTTTTCATGTTTAATAATTATTTTTTATTTTAATTATTTTATTTTATTTTTTTTCTTTCTTTCTTTCTTTCTTTTCTCCCTTTTCTTCTGAGCCGTGTGGCTGACAGGGTCTCAGTGCTCCGGCAGGGTATCAGGCCTGTGCCTCAGAGGTGGGAGAGGCGAGTTCAGGACATTGGTCCACCAGAGACCTCCTGGCTCCACGTAACATCAAAGAGCAAATGCTCTCCCAGAGATTTCCATCTCAATGATAAGACCTAGCTCCACTCAACGACCAGCAAGCTACAGTGCTGGACACCCTATGCCAAACAACTAGCAAGACAGGAACCAACCCCACCCATTAGCAGAGAGGCTGCCTAAAATCATAAGGTCACAGACACCCCAAAACACACCACTGGACACAGTCCTGCCCACAAGAAAGACAAGATCCAGCCTCATACACCAGAACAGAGGCACCAGTCCCCCCCACCAGGAAGCCTACACAACCCACTGAACCAGCATTACCCACTGGGGGCAGACATCAAAAACGTCGGGAACTACAAACCTGCAGCCTGCGAAAAGGATACCCCAAACACAGTAAGTGCAGCAAAATGAGAAGACAGAGAAACACACAGCAGATGAAGGAGCAAGGTAAAAACCCACCAGACCAAACAAATGAAGAGCAAGTCGGCAGTCTACCTGGAAAAGAATTCAGAGTAATGATAGTAGTGATCCAAAATCTTGGAAATAGAATGGAGAAAACAAAAGAAACATTTAACAAAGACCCAGAAGATCTAAAGAGCAAACAGACAATGATGAACAACACAATAAATGAAATTAAAAATTCTCTAGAATGAATCAATAGCAGAATAACTGAGGCAGAAGAACAAATAAGTGACCTGGAAGATAAAATAGTGGAAATAACTACTGCAGAGCAGAATAAAGACAGAAGAATGAAAAGAATCGAGAACAGTCTTTGAGACCTCTGGGACAAAATTAAATGCACTAACATTCGAATTATAGGGGCCCCAGAAGAAGAAGATGTAAAGAAAGGGACTGAGAAAATATTTGAAGAAATTAGAGTTGAAAACTTCCCTAATATGGGAAAGGAAATAGTCTATTAAGTCCAGGAAATGAAGAGAGTCCCATATAGGATAAATCCAAGGAGAAACACGCCAAGACAAATATTAATCAAACTATCAAAAATTAAGTACAAAGAAAAAATATTAAAAGCAGCAAGGGAAAAACAACAAATAAAATATAAGGGAATCCCCATAAGGTTAACAGCTGATCTTTCAGCAGAAACTCTGCAAGCCAGAAGGGAGTGTTAGGACATATTTAACATGATGAGAGGGAAAAACCTGAAAAAATTTTCAGATTTCACAAAAATCTGAAAATCTCATTTAGATTCGATGGAGAAATAAACACCTTTATAGACAAGCAAAAGGTAAGAGAATTCAGCACCACCAAACCAGCTTTACAACAAATGCTGAAGCACCTTCTCTAGGCAGGAAACACAAGAGAAGGAAAAGACCTATAATAATAATAAATAATAAAGAAT